AGGATCCTTCGGGCACTGGAGTGGGCACCTAGGAAGCTGATTCCATGGGCCAGGAGAAAGACCCACAGGCAGAAGATGGGGAGACACTTGATGAGAGCACTGAACCAGGAAGGGCTGGAGGTAGGCAGCCAGAGGACAAAATACACACAGGTCGCCTTGAAGAAGGGCACCAGCTTGGGGCCTTCACTCTTCACCTGCAATTCACAGACAGATTATTCATGTGGGTCAACAGAATGCAAGCGAGTGAATGAAATGTAAAGTAATTGCTACGCGAACACAACTCCCCTACAGACTGCATCACAACTTCAGTCTTTATACTTTACTGGGATAGCAAATTACTTTGCAATCATTTAGTTCACTTTAATAAACTTTGCTCATCTATGATTATAGGATTATAGTTCAATGTTTACATCATTACTACAGAGGCACAGTTTCCAATGCACTGGGAATGTGAAGCATTATGTATTATTCATTTATTTATTGTTTAAAAGGGGAAAAGAGAAGCTAGCCAATTTCGAACACCGTATAAAACCACAAAAGCAAACTGGGCCAGTCATAAAACAAAATTTGAGATTACAGGACAATGTAATAAAAATTCGATTTTTAATTTACATGCACTTTTTAAGTACCTTATCCCTGCTCAAATAAGGAAATTATGTTGCTGTGTATACTTTAATATCTGTACCCATGTTAAAACATACTAAACTACAGTGGGTCAGGGTTATAAGCTTGTATAACTGTTATTATATTTTTAAACACATAAAAATGATTTGGATTTGTGAATGTGTGTCTAAACTACTAATTCATTGAAACAGTCTGAAATATCAACAGTTTATTTCTGCAGAAGACCAAAGTAATTAACTCTGTGCTCCTACAGTCAGAGCCAATGAAGAGGTGACCTGCTTTACAGTACTTCTTTCAAGAGCCAAGTCATTATACCGAAAGTCATTTATTAACAAGATGAACTTTAAATTGCAGCCAATAGTGCAGGTGTTTCTAACCCAGGTGGAGAGCTGTTATCTGAAGCTTTTCTAGTTACTATGAAATCAAAACTTTCTACAGTTCTGAAATAATTTTATTTACAATCAGTGAAGACCAAGTGGTATATTT